TTATTGTGCATGATGGGGGGTGGGGGGGGGTTAGAGGTAGAGGTAGGGAGTGTGGAGCCCATTTACTAATTTCTTTGCTTCTAAATGTCCCTCAGGTGTTAAATAAAAAATGTATACATATATAGAGATATTATTTTTAATTTTGTTCACCTTCAATCCAAAACTTTTACCTGCTGTACCTCTTTTCAGCCACAAGATGTCCTCAGTTTCGATGGGCGGCTCCCCCTGCTGTACCTCTTTTCAGCCACAAGATGTCCTCAGTTTCGATGGGCGGCTCCCCCTGCTGTACCTCTTTTCAGCCACAAGATGTCCTCAGTTTCGATGGGCGGCTCCCCCTGCTGTACCTCTTTTCAGCCACAAGATGTCCTCAGTTTCGATGGGCGGCTCCCCCTGCTGTACCTCTTTTCAGCCACAAGATGTCCTCAGTCTTCTGGGTTGCATGACGTTCAGATTCACTCAAGCCAGAAGACTGAGGAAAGACAGTGAGTGCAGAGTCATTGCCCTGACTCCTTTTAATAGCATGGCGCCCTGCACTCACAGTGTGTTGATTCACAGATCATATGCGATGACGTGGTGACATCAGCGCCGCTCCCTGCATTACCCTGTGCGGCCCACCGCCGGGAGAATCCTACCAGCGCGTCATGTGACTAGCCATCCAACCAAAGTTACAGGCAAGCTGGTTAGTCTGTGTATAACGTCTAGAGCTGCTACAAGTCCAATCCGGCCTGGAGATCTTCCAGACAAAACGTATAAATATCCGCTCACCCGGCGCGGCTCACACACAATGTTTTTCTGTTGTGACTGGAGTTTAATCAGGCGAAGACATCAGGACGTCAGCAACTCCACGCACGTCCCGAACGCAGGTGAGAGATTCCCGGGGCAGGAGAACGCACCAACCACAAGTGACGGATTCGGGGCCCATCAAAGGGAGGCGACGCCGGGACCGACGATCTGCAGCTAAGAAAACCACAAAAAAGGGGAATTCACAGCAAGGAAGACGCAGAGTTCCCTCGCATTTCCTTTCATTGCCTCTGCGGCACCGACGGGATTTAAAGGGGAACTCCAATCGGGTCAAAGAGAAGACATATTCAGCACATCTCTGCGAAACGCGCACATCCCCTCCCCCGCACGTCTCTTTGAAATGCTGCAAGTAATAGAATATATCTGTGGATTCTGCCCAAAAACCCAGCGGGCTCCATAATTCCCTTCCAGGGCAGACAACGCCGCTACCCAGCAGTGATTTTCATCCCCGCCTGAGTTCTCCCCGCTGGACTACTAAAAGTGAGAAATACATTAAAAATATATTAATAAAAATGAATTAAAAAATAAATAAAATTAATACATAAAAATAAATACAAAAATAAAATAAATGGATAAAAATACATAAAAATAAATACAAAATAAATACAAAATTAAAATAAAATTAATTCATAAAATAAATGGTTAAAAATACATAAAATAAATAAATAGATAAAAATAAACTAAATAAATAATAAATACAAATGAGAAAATAAATAAACCATGAATACAGTTAGCAAGCTATGAGTATGACATTTTGTTGCGGCATTTTCATGGATTTGTCTTCCTGTTATAGGGTTCCTGCCTCCCAGCTGTGATCCTGCTTTGTTACTCTGTCACACGGGATGCTGATTGAGACTATGAGAGTCCATTCACACCACGGCGGTTGCGGATCAGCGCGGTTACTGCGCTGATTGCAAAAAGAAGGTTTTGGGAGTTTTTAATTGCGTTTCAGTGTTGAAATCCAATTAAAAACGCCCAAAACTGCACTCATCAGCGAGCCAAAAAAAGTTGCCGGGGGCAGTTGCGGGTGGGGGAAGCAGTTCGGGGATCGCGCTGAGCCGCGCGATTGCATGAACGGCCACCATAGCAATGTATGGGATTGTTCATGTCGGCGGATCCGTGCGGCCAAATCCACGAAAGCCGAACCGCCCCGGTGTGAATGGGGTGTAAGTGGTTGTTTCAACACACATTACGCTGGCATGGTCCGCTGTTGTCACCCTCAGGAATCCCGCACCCTGAGAAATGCCACGCAGCCATCACTAGGGTGCATGGCCAGGAAGGATTGGACATAAAGGAAAAGGGGGAAAGACAATGAGGTTAAGGGGAAAGACAGGGTGACAGGAAAGGATAGCGGAAAGGAAAGGATAGAGGAAAGGATAGCGGAAAGGAAAGGATAGAGGAAAGGAAAGGATAGAGGAAAGGAAAGGATAGAGGAAAGGATAGAGGAAAGGAAAGAAAAGAGGAAAGGAAGGGGGAAAGGAAAGGATAGAAGAAAGGATAGAGGAAAGGAAAGGATAGAGGAAAGGAAAGGAAAGGATAGAGGAAAGGAAAGGATAGAAGAAAGGATAGAGGAAAGGAAAGGATAGAGGAAAGGAAAGGAAAGGATAGAGGAAAGGAAAGGATAGAGGAAAGGAAAGAGGAAAGGAAAGGGGAAAGGAAAGGAAAGAGGAAAGGATAGAGGAAAGGAAAGGATAGAGGAAAAGAAAGGATAGAAAAGAGGAAAGGAAGGGGGAAAGGATAGCGGAAAGGAAAGAGGAAAGGATAGAGGAAAGGAAAGAGGAAAGGATAGGGGAAAGGAAAGGAAAGAGGAAAGGAAAGAGGAAAGGAAAGGAAGGGGGAAAGGATAGAGGAAAGGAAAGGATAGAGGAAAGGAAAGGATAGAGGAAAGGAAAGGATAGAGGAAAGGAAAGGATAGAGGAAAGGAAAGGATAGAGGAAAGGATCGGGAAGGGAGGGGAAAAAAACAAAGGAAAGGAAGTAAGGGGGAATAGAAACAAATATAGAAAATGGAAGGG